TTTAGGGTTTAGGGTTTAGCATTTGGTGTGTCGACTCACCACAATTTTGCTAGACGCTTTTGGAAGGCGAACACGGAGCTTCGAATGCAGGGGCCTAAACTATTCAGGCGTCTTTACTATTTGAAGGATCCGGGCACTGGGTAAGTAGGTAGTAAGTAGACTTTCAAGAAGAAACCCTGACCAGTCTCTGATATGATACTTACAAGTCCATACAACTATTCTGTCACCCGACCCACTACCTACTTGTAGTAGCTTGTTGGAGCTCCCAGTGACACAGAAGTAGAACACCGACGGTTGCATCCTAAGCGCAAAACAGCTATGGAACCATCCGGGCGTTTGAAGCAAGGCCTGAGGGGCTTCTGGGTCTAGTTGACATGCAGGCTTAGGAGGTTGAGTGTTCAGTGAGTTTAGGGTTTTTACGCCAGAATGCCTGAAAGAAATGCCTACTAGCTGGTCGTGTTGCAGCCCTTGCTGAGGCCCGCTCCCGCCGAATCACGCCACTGGGACCCGGATGCAGCATCTGCGACGGGATCGAAGGCCCTAAATCCTAAATCCTAAACCACCCCAAACCCTAAACCCTAACAAACCCCAAATCCTAAAGCCTTAGACCCGAAACCCTACACCCCAAAGCCTAAACCCTACCAAGCCCCAAGCCCTAAAACCTTAAAACCCTAAACCCTAAACGGTGGATCTGTGTATTTGGGGGACCCTTGGGGCTGAGAGTTGAAGTTTACCCTGCCGGGCCCTAGGCTCTAAGCCCGACTGCGTGAAGGGATCGGATTTAGGGTTTAGGGTTTAGGGTGCAACAGGGCTCCTTTCAGGGGGTACTACAGGGCTCCACAATAGGGCCCCTTGAAGAAGTAGTATAGGGCTCTATGATAGGGTCCCCTTTAAGGGTTCTCTTACGGCATCCGTTAAGGGTTCTCTTAAGGCAGCCATAATGGTGTGGGTTTACATAAGGTTTAGGGCTTTCGGCTTCCCTTTAGGGTTTCGGGCTTAGAGCAAAACTGAACCTGCTAAAGCAAGCTTTCGCATCTGATGATGTCATTTCAGTTGCTGAGTTCATACGCTTTTTAAAACGCGTACACTTTCAGCTTGATACGGACTATAAGGGATAATCCTATCCTCATACGTCTAAAGTGTACTCACTCAGCTACGAAGTCGTTGAGGTCTGGCATCATGTCCCCCATAAATGCGAAACGAGAGGCTCTTATGGCCTTTCCGAAATCAAAAAGGGAGGTCCTGAATGTAACTGCAAGACAAGTATAATTTGTCCTGGCCCGATTGAACCCGGAACCCTAATACCCTCAACCCTAAACCCTGAACCCTAAACCCTAAAGCCCCATTCACATCTAAAGAGCTTAAAGTCGCCGGGGCGTGACGTCTCTGCATTCTGGAGGATAGGATAAGGTTTAGGGTTTAAGCTTTCTACCATGAGGACCAAGTGACCCCTTTTTTTCATGATACATCCTTGTACTATAAACTGATATTTGGCATCGGAACCTCAACCCTGTTGGGGTATATGTCGCGCTTGAGGGTCGCAGCATATTTATACATATTCTGTGGTATACCCGGAAGGCTTGTTCTTTTCGGGATGTTTTGTCATACTGCTTTTACCTGTAATCATAACATGATAAGGTCAGTGGCGCTCATCCTCGTCGCTTCTAGTTTCGGCATTGCTCATTAGCTCTGCGTACATTCGCAGAATCTCTGTTGGTGAAGCAAGCTCCGCATCCGCAGCCTCCAATGTTCAGGTTGTGTAAGGCTGGGCGCTCATCACAGCTGCAGAACAAGTCCCATTCAGCATCACATTTTGCTAAAGGCATTGCACAACCAAGGGCAACGTGTCCGGAAGATGAGCTCAGATGCTCGGCCCTTCAGCACGGGCGAACCACTGCTGATTGAGCCTCGCCCCAAACTCAATTCGACGACATGTCCGATCTGTATGATGTCCGTCTCAAATCCAGGCCCCATAGAAGTCGAACTTCTGGTGGGTTGTAAAAGCCTGACTTTCTTGGGCTATACAAGCTTACAAGCTTCAAGCAGATTCAAGCAAATCTTCAAGTCAGCCCCTCATTCATATTATTCCCCCAATGAGGTAAGCACTGGGTAAGACCAACGACATGCTTTGGAGATCCCTTTGAAAGAAGCCACAACTGCCCAAAATGGAACACAACCAAAACGCCCCAAGAGGCATGAAGATAGCAGCATATAATGAGGCCGACTTATTTACGAATGTCTTTATTCCTTGTTACATGTATACTACACTGTACGTACCCCACAACCCTATTCCAACCATTCAAGGCCCTCTGTACCATAGACCCCTTATGCAACACCTTACTGAAACCCTTATCCACTTCAGAACCCTCTAAAGGAACTCTAGTCTTTGCTGACACAACCCAGATAAGGCCGCAGCCGAGCTGGTAGGTTGTGGCATCGACACGAGAGGGGCTGAACCGCCACCTTGCTTCCGAAGCTCCAGGAAGAGGTTCTACTTGGAGGATCTTGGGACTTAATAAGCAGGGTATATGTATCTTAATTGGGGTTATACGTAATTATAAATATGGTTACCTTACTTATAACCTCAGTTACTAAGTCCCATGATCCTTTAAGTAAGGCGTTTTGGTTTAGGGTTGTACGGTTTAAGAGGAGGCTCTCACGTTTGGGCTTTGGGTTTAGGAAGAGGTTGAAAGGCTGTTGGGGTTCCAGGGTCCAGGGTTCGTGGGCTTTTGGGGACCTCCCCTATGCTGCAAAAACTCGGTACTCAGATATATATATATATATATATATTTATACATACATACATACATACATACATCCATACATACGTATGTATACCTATATAAATAAATAAATAAATATATATATATATATATACATACGACATTTAGGGTTTTAGGGTTTAGGGTTTAGGGTTTGGGGTTTAGGGTTTAGGGGTTTAATGTTTAGGGTTTGGGGTTTGGGGTTGATGGTTTAGGGCTTTAGGGTTTTAGGGTTTTAGGGTTTAGGGTTTAGGGTTGGGGGTTTGGGGTTTAGGGTTTAGGGCTTTAGGGTTTTAGGGTTTAGGGTTTTAGGGTTTAGGGGCAGTCATACTGTTGATGATACGGTATGTATCCTGCATTACCTTACGGACCCTAAACTATGCGAACTATGGTAGATTCCTTATGATGGGTAATGCAGGATTTATATCATCAGCCGTAGTCTATCCTACCACAAAAATAACAAGATAACCTTATGGAATGGCATTGCCTTCGATGCTGAATACAGAAACCCAGAAAATAGTAAACTTTCAGTTGTAAAGTCTTGAGGGGGGTAATATGAGCCCCCCCCAACAAAAAAAGAGAGTGCGAAGCGTATTCATTCAGCTTGTACTTGGAGGGTCGGATGGCTTGGTAAGTAGGTAATAAGTAGGCTTTCATGATACTTAAAAGTCTATAACATATCTATTTACTAAGTCCCCCGACCCCCGAAAATAAGTTACTGATTCTGCAAGCCCTTGGGCTTGAGGTTTGCTCAGGTTACTTAGGATTGGGGATTAGGGTTTAGGGGTTACGGCTCCGAGGGTTTAGGGGTTACGGTTCCGAGGGTTTGGTGTTTAGGGAGCTTGTCGTAAGCACGGTCATAGATACTTCGATCTAGTACGGTATACGGCATGTATCTGAAACCTAAAACGTGGGTGGATTCCGTGTTTTCATGCACATGCTGATAAGAAGGTCAGTGTTTAGGATTCGATGGGTTTCAGAGCTCATATTGAAAGCTGCGGCCTTCAGCTCGCGATGTCAACTATGTAGCTATCTCTACCCGTAAACAACACAGGACGATTGATTGGGCTTGGGCCAGCCTGTGGAAACCTCAACGAGATGACTCTTTTAAGCACGTCTTGACACTGGCGGCCCAGGTTGAATTAGCATCTGTAGTTGCATTCTTCCTAACAGGCAGTCCAAAAACTATGCTTTGGAGGAGTTTTTCGACAGGAGTAAAACCCTGACGTCCGCAGTGCTGTAAAATAAAGACACCCTAAACACAGCCTAACCAAGGAACAAGGATTGGTGCTGTAGTAAGCCTCAACATACCCCATAGACCTTCATGTTTTTTTTTTATCAGGTAACGTGGGACAAAATGACCTTGGAGGATTGGGGCTGTTGTGCTAGCTTGGGCGTACACGGCTTTCCGGTTCGAGCATGTGGCTCCCAGGGCACGTATAAACAAGATATTCCACATTATTACTTGAAGCCTCAAGTTCATGTCCTAGTGCAAAGAATCCGAACAGTAGATGTTTCGCTGCAGTGTGTTCAATCCAGCATGTCTGAGCGTCGTACCAACGACGCCAATGAGCCTGCCAAGTCCGAATCTGCTAGTGGCTTCGGCACTCGAAGGTTCGATTTTGTTCGAATGTTCTACGTAGTTGAATATTCTTCTTACTGTAAAGTTGATAAGCACCATACTGGTGAAAGCTGTGGTCATTGATTGTGACCCCTGTTGCTTGACAGTGCAATCATCCTCGTTTTGTCTTTTGTTGTCTCGGGGCATGAAGAGAAACAGGACTGCAACTACATCCTGAGATAACCGAAGCCCAGACCTGAAGCGACGACCAGTTTCGGCCCAAACTTTAAACTCAAAGTCCGAAAAGCTGAACCTGAGCGTTGCCGTACATCCATGCAAACCGGAACCCCAAACCTCGAGAGCTGAGCAAAGTCCACCCCAGACGACTGCGACCTGAAAAGAAAGCAATGTTGAACTTGCCAGTAGCATAACTACTGTAGCCATGGTTTCGATGCAGACACACGCGTACACAAAACCTTGATGGCAGGCTCACTGCACAGATTGCACATAAGATTGGCTACAAAGTGCGTCATGACGCCTAGTGCCGATTGACGCTTTTGTATGCTCGACATTTCGTGGCCTACATTACTTAGTCCAAACCTGCGCGCAATTTCCGTCACTATCCGGCCAGGAAGCCGAGTCAATCCGTCTGCCAGAACTCCGTGCTACGAAAACTGAACATGGTCTAGCATTCGTGCTGCACTGCGCAAATTTGTCTGCACATCTGCGTCGTGAAACATGCCAACGGGCTGCTCCACTTCTGTTAGTTGTTTGTCCCCACTATATGGCGAAAGTTCGATTACCGTGGTTACAAGGACGTAGACTCGTGGAACGTGCGTTGCTACCCTCGGGAGACTTGAAGGCTCAAAATGTTTGAAGACGGCTTCAAGCGCCGAGGCACAGGGCTGAGGCTGAGCGAATGTGGTTGCTGAAGTTTCATCGCCGAACACAGCGTGAAGATAAGAGTTTTCGTGATATGCATGAGTTTTCGATATACAGCACCAACCAAGGTTTCAAGTGTCTTCTCTTCATTCCGCAACAGATCACACTACCATGAATGGAGTAAACACCGTCTTCCTCATAAACATGGTTTGCATCCAGGATGTACAGTCTCGTACGTTGCTGTAAACGCTGCCCCTCGCTCGTTAACATGCATTTAGCAAATACAAGCATGCCTCCACGCCAGTTCACGGCATCCCACACACCGGCCAGAGCTTTGCGGATTTCCTGCGGCATGATGCCGCCTGCACCGTCATCTTTTCTCGAGTACAGGTGAAGGAGCCAAACCCTGCCATGCATGAACTACTTGCGGGAAAGTTTTACTGTAGGACAAACCCTGCCATGCATGAACTACTCGCGGGAAAGCTTTACTGTAGGACGCCCCTAATCTAAAATTGCTCCCAAACCCAATGCCTCCGAGGAAATCAAACCTCCACAGTTGACTCCTCAACCCTAATTTAAAGCCCAAACTCAAGATTAATTACAAAGGACACAGTATTCAAACGTAGAGATTTAACCCGCCAAGCCTGCAGCTCGGTTCAGTTCCAACAGACGAATTCGACAGGCCCTGTGGATCCAGAATAACAGAAGTGTGTTTTTACGTCAACCCTGGCGTGTGGTCTGCAGTAAAGCCGAAAACATATTGAACCTATGGCCCCTAAACCCTAAACCGTAAACCCTAAACCCTGAAGAAGCCCTAGGACCTCAAACTGAGGACAACCCAGTATTGTGCATCTTGAGGAGCTTGAGCCAAAGGTTCCAGGTTTGGGTCTTAATATCAGGGCTTTGTGAAATTGAACAGGGTTTAGAAGTATGTTCTATTCTAGAATAGGGCTTTTGGGCATGTTCTACTTTTGCTAAAGGACGAGACCCCAGGGAATAGTATTGGTGGTTATTCAGGCCTCTACACATAATGGATTGACAGAATGGAGGCGAGAGTCTCTAATAAGGGCTTGCGAACAACTCTAAACCCGAAACCCCCTGCCCTTTCTCAGTAATGTAGGCGCGGAGCCTAATAATTAGAATAGGGGTTTTGGGGTATAATAGACTATAGAAATAATATGGACCGCAAAACAGTACAGGTAATTATTAAGGCCCCTATATTACCCTGATACGCCATCTTGGGAATCCAAGGACCCTTCATCTTTTAAGCAGAGGAGAAGGCATTCAAATGTTGGACATGGCGATTTCTCGGAAACAGCCCTCTTGTGTATAGACAAGCTTGGAACGGCTAATAACTGCAGTAGAAGTCGGGGATTTCATGCCATGAAACCCTAAAGATCAAAGACACATGCAGGATGTGGTTTGGGCCAAAGACTACATGCATAACCCCGAACCTACAAAACAGTAGGCCATGATCCCTTCATTACCTTGGCGTTCTTCTGGTTGGCTCTTAGGACTTTAACTTTTTGGGTTTCTATATGAACCATAATAAGGAAACTAAAAGTTTAACTTTTAGGAGGGGTGTACCAGTCGGCCAAGATACATGGTTGAGCTCTTTACCACAGTTCACTTAGGGGGGGTAGGGTGTAGGGGGGTAGGGGGCCTTAACATGTGCAATAAGGACCTAAAAAATTAAAAGCCTATTTAAGGAAGCTGAGGCACTCCGATCTGGAGTCGAGGGCTGAGATTAGTGAAGGATCCATCGAAATGCCGAGGCAAGGGCTCGTGGTATGTTTGGGCACATTACAACAAGTTTATGTTCGGAACCCGTAGACATCGTATTCCTGATTACCCAATAATTCTCCGAACCCCCCCCCAATCTAGAACCCGCCTAAACCCTCCTGCATCCAGACATACGCGTACTTGCATGGAGGGTCCGGGGACACAGTATGTAGTTGTCTTGTAGAGGTATAGGCATCATAACCCCGATTTGGACTCGTGTAACTCTTCTTGTGGCCTGAAGCCCTAAACCTAACCCTAAACCCTAAACCCTAAACCCTAAACCCTAAACCCTAAACCCTAAACCCTAAACCCTAAACCTCAAACCCCAAACCCTAAACTAAGCCCTACCAAGTCGCCCGCCCCTTCAAAAGAAACATCAGGGAGGCTTAACGGTTTAGGGTTTAGGGTTTAGGGTTTAGGGGTTTAACAATGATTGATGTTGTAAGTACTTCTACGCATTGTTTTTTTTTCGTCTCGGGGGGGTTGAGGGGTTTAGCGTTGAGGCTTCCAAACCTACAAGTATGTGCTTAGCCCCATGAACCTCTACCCTAGACCCTAACCCTTCAACTTTAGACCCAAAAACTTTGAGTATGGTACCTGGATGAAACCACGCGCCGTGGACTCCCACCGTCAACCGGGCCTGGGCATTTGATTCCCGTTGGCTCTCTCAAAGGGCCCGTTTTAACCCTAAACCCCAAACCCTAAACCCATTAAGGCTTTAAGGACGTAGAGATTTAGGCGTTTAGGGTCCAATGGGCCGGCACAAAATCTGTTCGTTATCTTAGCTGCTGAATTCATAAGCACAAAATTTGTACACTTTCAGTTCTATATGGCATGAAATTCCCAAACAATTCAAAGTGTACTCATTTAGCTACTAAGTTATGTCTGTACTCATTTAGCTACTAAGTTATGTCGGCTTCCGAAACCATTTATTCCATTGTAGGGGTCCCACATACTAATCGGAGATTCATACGGCTGATGATTGAAATCCTGCAATACCTTAAGGACCCTAAACTACGGGAATTATGGTATATACCTTATTCTGAGTAATGCAGGTTTATATCATCAACCCTAAATCCTAAACCCTATAAACCCTAAGCCCTAAACCTTCATCTCAACCGTACAGCGGAAGACTCGTTTGATTTATATCTATCACCAACCGTATTAAGGCCTTAGGCTGCAGGTTAAGGATGTAGGGTGCTTCGATAAGGCCCTGAGGGTTCAACAACTCGAGCAAGATTGAGATCCAGTTTGGGTTTAGGGTTTTGGGTTCAGGGTTTAAGGCCTCAACCTGAATATTTATGCATGAAGGAAGCCTGAGGGGAAAGTATTGGTAAATATTTAGGCTTCGATATTACGGCCTACTTGGAGGCTCGGCGGACGTAATAAGTAGGTAATAAGTAGACTATAAGTAACCGAAAAGGGACTCTAATTGGGGGTTATGGTACTTTTAAGTCTATGAAAACTAACTTACTAAGCCCCGACCCTCCCCTTTATAGAATCCTCATAGATCCCTCTAAGGATCCCTTTAAGGAGTGCTTTAAGGAACCCTACTTACAAAGTCCCCCGACCCTCCAAGAAAAGGCAACCCCAGAAGGGTTTAGGGTTTAGGGTTTAGGGGTTTAGGGGTTTAGGGGTTTAGGGTTGAGTCGTCTAGAGCTTTGGCCTGAAGCAGATGCTATTTTGACTCTACTTTTAATTGCTTATAACCCCGGTTAAGGTGCTTAGGGTTTAGGGTTTAGGGTTTAGGGTTTAGGTACTTATAACCCTACTTACTAATTCCCAAGATCCTCCAAGTAGGCCTGAAGCAGATGCTCAAAACAAAACAAGGCAGCAACGGTCGGCTGCGTAAGAAATGGGTGTCCGGGCTTCAGGGCGCAAAAAAGCGGCCGGAAAAATAGACAGTGGTTTTTGGGTTATATTCTAGACGAGTAGAGTGTAACCCTAAACCCTAAAGTTTATAGTCTTAACAGCGAAGAATGAGGAATCAATTGGCCACCATGCAGGCTTCTATAGTTCGTAGGGACATGCCTTAGAGCTCCATCGACCAACAGCTGCACTCGGCCTGTGGTTGATGTTGGTGTACACCTGGTTGTAGGGAAAGTTGCCTTGGAAGGAACCTCGGTCACCTCGTAGACAAGCACTTGGAGGCAGAACTTCATCAGGATGTTGCCGTCCCCCAGAGGAACAGCCACAGCTCGCAGCCCGAAGTCTTTCTCGAAGGTGTCGTCGTCGCCCAACCCTAAACCCCAAACCCTA